CCTTGGGCACATGCACCTGAGTCCCCTTTCAACCCCAGGTGTGCCTCTCCCTCTCTCCCCACCAGGCGTCCGCACTCACTGCCCCTTCTTCACCTGGCTCCTGTCTCCCTTTTCGACTTCCAGTTGAGTTGTAATTCAATGATAACTAATTTACCACACTAAAACACAGCCAGAGACAATGCTGTCTAAGACATGTTTGGTGATACAGCTTCCCTGATTATTTTCCTGTTTGCCTACCATTTCCAGTCATTGAATGCATTCCACCTTACACATTTTTCCATGTTGTTCAACAAAAACAGATATAAAAATGCTGCAACAACCCAACTTTCCCCTTGCCTAAATTGCTGAAGACAGTCTAATCACAAGTGGCTGATTCTTTTCAAGTCTGATGGAATTTTTCACTAATGTGTCTACTGACTTTAGCCACATCCACATGTCCTCTTGTCATGCCCTGTCACATTCCACTTCTGAAATAGCAACCCTCAACTTGCATGTGTCTCATTTCCAGTTTTTAACCCTTTGATTGAAAAAAATTACAACATCTGAACTTCCTGCTGAATAGAATTATAATTTCAGTTTTAAACTAGGGAGTACTGGTGGCCAGGATCTGAAGATTAATAAGATTCATCCAAGATTTCATAGCATTTTGGCACAGACAAAAATAGAAGCCCCGACTTGGGATCCTGTTTGTAGTGCAGAGGTCCCCCTGGTTGGGAAATAACAGAAGAAAGATTTTTTTTAATTTTTTATTTGGAAAATATAAATTTTCAAAGTACAGTTAATGGATTACAATGGCTCGCCCCCCCCATAATTTCCCTCCCACTCACACCCCTCCCATCTCCCGCTCCCTCTCCCATTCCATTCACATCAAGATTCATTTTCAATTATCTTTATGCCGGCGCCGCGGCTCAATAGGCTAATCCTCCGCCTGCGGCGCCGGCACACCAGGTTCTAGTCCCTGTCGGGGCGCTGGATTCTGTCCTGGTTGCCCCTTTTCCAGGCCAGCTCTCTGCTATAGCCCGGGAGTGCAGTGGAGGATGGCCCCAAGTCCTTGGGCCCTAAACCCACATGGGAGACCAGGAAAAGCACCTGGCTCCTGGCTTCGGATCAGTGCTGTGCGCCGGCCGCAGCGGCCATTGGAGGGTGAACCAACGGCAAAGAAGAAAGATATTTAGTCCTGTGCCATGAAAGGTAGTAACCTTGAAGAAGAACCAGCCCTAACCAGATATATTCCTGAGCAGTGGGCTGCAGACCGAGACAGTCAGCAGTAGCTGGCCATACACTCACTCTGGAATATATTTAGTTAGGGTTCATGGGAACTGTGCCATGACTGCTTCAGACCTCACTGGATGCAAAACATGGGTACAAAGTTCCACTTGGAGTCTGCTGGCTCTTGGCTCCCAATGCACTTGCTGTGGGGATTTATTGTTCACTCTACCTTTTCATTTTCTCCTTCAGGAAATTGTCACTTGCCAAAAATGACTTTTAAGTGACTTGCTCCATGGATGTTTCTCTAGAGCACTATTCCTTTAAGACTTGAGTTTCATATTTGTGAATTGATTGGGTTTTCTTTTCTTGTAGTGAAAGCTCTGTCGTCTCACCCCTCATCACTTTATCCTTCATATTGCTGCATCTGTTACTCACGTCACCAGTATGCTGACCTCATTATTCTTTCCTATCCCTTTTTTGTTTTAAATATGCAAATAAAATTAACTCTTACTGCTTTTTTTTATCTTTTTTTAAGATGTATTTATTTATTTGGAAGGCAGAGTTACAGAGAGAGAGAGAGAGAGAGAGAGAGCAAGCGAGCAATCTTAGATCTGCTGGTTCACTCCCCAAGTGTCTACAAAATGGCTTATGCTGGGCCGGGCCAAAGCCAGGAGCCTGGAACTCCATCTGGGTCTCTCAAATGGGTGGCAGGGGCCCAAGCACTTGAGCCATCTTCTGCTGCTTTACCAGGTGCATTAGCAGGGAGCTGGATCAGAAATGGATCAGCCAAGCCTAGAACCAGTGCTCACATGCAATACTGGTGTTGCAGCTGGTGGCTTAACCATGCAAGCCCCTCTCATAGCTTTCTTAACCAAGAGTATTTTCATACTAATTTATTGAAATCAGCTTAATCTAATCACATCTACACATTTTCTGCTAGAAAAAAACATATACTTTTTTTCCTTTTAAAGGAAAGTTTATATAATAGAGTTTAGAAAAGTTGGACAAAATCAGATGAAAATGCCCCACTGTTTTTTATTGCTTCATTGTCCAAGGAATAGTATGGTCCCTGCATACCTGGTGTAATGTCTTAGACAACTAATTTTATTTTTTTAACTTTTTTAAAAGATTTTATTTATTTGAGAGGTAGAGTTAACAGTGAGAGGGAGAAACAGAGAGAAAGGTCTTCCTTCCGTTGGTTCACTCCCCAAATGGCCGCAACAGCTGGAGCTGCACCAACCTGAAGCCAGGAGCCAGGTGCTTCTTCCGGGTCTCCCATGTGGGTGCAAGGGCCCCTAAGGACTTGCGCCATCTTCTGCTGCTTGCCCAGGCCACAGCAGAGAGCTGGATTGGAAGAGGAGCAGCTGGGACTAGAACTGGCGCCCGTATGGGATGCTAGCACCACAGGCAGAAGATTAACCTACTGCACTGTGGTGCCGGCCCCCATTTATTTAATTTATTTGAAAGTCAGAGTTACACAGAGAGAGAAGGAGAGGCATAGTGAGAGGTCTTCCATCCGCTGGTTCACTCCCCAATTGGCTGCAACGGTTAAGAGCTGCGCTGATCTGAAGCCAGGAGCTAGGAGCTTCTTCCGGGTCTCCCACATGGGTGCAGGGCCCAAGGACTTGGACCATCCTCTGCTGCCCTCCCAGGTGCATTAGCAAGGAGCTGTATGTCAAGTGGAGCAGCCGAGACTCAAACCGGTGCCCATATGGGATACCGACGCTGCAGGCCAGAGCTTTAACCCACTGCGCCACAGCACACCACCATTTTTAGATTACATTCAGCACTTAAAGAGTCTGAGCTTCAGTACCTTTCTTTGTCAATTTTAATTGTTGGCAACAATTAATTGGGTGAACCCTAACATAGCTCCTTATTAATCTTTCTCTCTGCCCACCTCCCCTGTGTTTCCAACAAGTCCTGATATTTCAAGTAGAGTCGATGTGAACCATGCAATAAAATCACAAATGGCATCTTTGTTCAATTCCTTAAAAAAAAAAAAAGTGGGGCTAGCATTGTGCTGTAGCTGGTAAAGTCACTGCCCGTGACGCCAGCATCCTATATGGGTGCCAGTTTGAGTCCTGGCTGCTCCACCTCTGATCCAACTCCCTGTTGATGTACCTGGGAAGGCAGCAGAGGCTGGCCTAAGTGCTTGGGCCCCTGCACCCACATGGGAGACTCAGAAGAAGCGCCGGGCTCCTGGCTTCAGAATGGCCCAGCCCTGGCCATTGCAACTGTTTGGGGAATGAACCAGCAAATGGAATATCTCTCTCTGTCTCTCCCTCTCTCTCTGTACTTCTCTGCCTTTCAAATAAATAATCTAAAAAAAAAAAAAAGACAAAGATAAATAGAATTATTCCACAATTTAAAAAATATATGATCATCGATGTATATAAATAATTATATAAATGGTGAGACTTTGAGCCATACATGCTGCTTATTTTATAGAAAATTACTCTGCAACTAGTTAATCTGGAATTATTCCATATTCTTTCATTTTGATTTGGAATTGAATTCTGCCCCTAATCAGAAGAAACTCAAATACAGGAAGAAGCTACTGTCCCTGACACTGTGTAATTTAGTTCCACTGACAGCAGATTAGTCAGTAATCCCTTCAGGGGATATTTTCCACCCGAGTCAGGCTTGGGAATGCTCCGGCTCTTCTGACAAACAAGCCAACCTGATGGAAATTCATTTTGCATTGGTGAACCCTACAGCACGATCATTTTAACTGTGTTTCCTAATTAAAATAGCATTCTACTTGGAACTGTTTACTTTTTTACCTCTTTCTCAACATTCTGCAGACATGAATGTCAGGACACTAGGGAGATCCAAGACCTAATTCTTACTGTGAGCCTTGAAGTACTTTTGATGAACTTCGTAGATGAAGGATGGGGAACTCGGCTAGAAATGTAGAATCGCAGAGTTTGCAGGGGCCTTCTGTGCCCTCTGGTCCAGTCCCACGTGGGAAGCTGAAATGTGCTCCAGTACCTCCCTGCCAGGTTGGGATTCAGCACTTGAGCGAGCCCTCCAGACGGCTCTGTTAAAAAGTTCTTCCTTATCTTGAGCCCCCTAGCTTCTGCCTGGGGGTCGGGATTCAGTTAGGGACATACAAAGCAGTTCTGTTGAACTTGGGAGGTGTAGGCTTCTTGTGGGCAGGGATGGTATCCACTGTAGCATCTGGTGAGTCGATGGCCAACTGCTGAATGCAGTTGGAAGCAGGTAGAGTTCTTTATTTGGCTATTGTCTTACAAAATCGCAAATGATCAGTACATTCAAGTTTCATCGAGAAGGGATCATATCAATAACTGATCTTATTGTTTAAATGCTATACAGATACATTGTGTTATTCCTTCCATCTTATAATTCTTACGAATTGTAATGTAACTTCAGTATAAAAATTCTATAAATATCAACCATTAGCTACCACATGTGCAGAACATGCTGAGTCATGAGGCAGAGAAATTGAAACCCTACTGAAGTGGACATTAGAAGTCCTGGGTTCTAATCCCAGCTCCACTACACCCAAGTGAGTGACCTTGGACAGGTCATTCAACCTCTCTGGTCCTTAACTCCTCTGCTGCAAACTGCAGGGGTTGAAGCCAGTGCTCTCTCCAAGCTGTCTCCAGCTTCCCACCCTGCGCTTCGGTCTGTGTGTAGGTTCTCATAGGGACAATCAAGGAGTGCAGCCCTCTGGCTGCCAGTTCAGTTCTCAGTTCCTGTCGCCCTCAGTATCCACTTGCAGACGCTGTTTAAAGCCAGGGATGAGTTTTTCCCTTCTCTCTTTGCAGAACACGCTTCTTCAGGAGACGGTGCGTAGAGAGTGCGAAGAACGCTTTGAACTGACGGAGGCTTTGAGTCAAGCCAGAGAGCAGCTCCTGGAGCTCAGGAAGCTCAGTGGCAGTCTACCTTTGTCGCCCTGTTCGCTCGGCAAGGGCAGTCTAACCTCCTGCGCCGCGACCGTCAGTAACCAGCGCGAGAGAGGCCTTGGGAGACTGAACTCGGAAAAAGGAGCCCGCGTCCCCAGCCTGTATGGAGTGTCCAAACCCACCCCTGCCCCAGCCTCGGAGAAGCCCAAGAGGGCCGGCAGCTCGGGCTTGCCTGTTCTCCCCCAGACACACCCTCCTAGGGGCCAGTCACCTTCAGTGAACGAGACGCGACGGAGGCTGGCGATCATGCTTCGGAGGAGGCTGAGTCAACAGTGACTGATCTGGAGTCAGGAGCGGCCCCGCCCGGAGTGCGCGCTCTCCGGGGGCGCGGAGACTCCCTGTCACTGAGAATGAGTGATCCAGCAGGTTCGCAGATTAGGAATGCATGTCAGCGGATGTACTTAACAAAAGAACGTAAGAAGCCAGGAGACTGTGAAAACACATATCCCAAGAAGCCTCTGAACTTGAAATAGACAATGAAGTTGTTGGTCTTCCAGGAGGTCAATTTCTATATGTATGTAGCATATGTGTCTAGAAGTGTTCTATGAATATGCCCTTTAGAGATCACAGGTAAATTTTTTTACCCATAGCATCTTTTTTTTTCTTCTACACCCCCTTGTTTTTTTCCTCTTGCAGGTATATTTCCACAAAAAATAGATCACATTGGTTCTGTTGGTGTTTTTTTCCCTTTGTTTGTTGAGCTAAATAGGTTAAATAGATGTAGCAAGTGTTCCTAGTAGGGAAAAAAAAAAGTTTTTTAGTCTTTAATTAGATAATTTCCAAAATGCTTAGTTCAGATATTCACAGGAGCTCATTAGCACTGTCAAAGCATTCTTTTCTTAACCCTACAATCCAGTTGGTTCATGTAATTTCTCTTTAGGCTATGTCAGAAGTAAAAATAGATAACTTTCTGGAAGACCATCTTCCCTGAGAAGCTGAGAACCTTCTAGAAAAAGAGATGGTAACTCCAATTCAAGGAAAAGGTGATTTACTTCTTAAATTATCAAAAGTATTTTAGAAACAGCCTGACCATGAAAATATGAGGGGACTTCAGAAAGTTCATGGAAACTCAGTTAAAACAGAAGTTGAGCAGGTGGGCACTGTGGCACAAGGCTGAGCTCCAGCTTAGGACACTGCATCCCAGGTCGGAGTGCCTGGGTCAAGTGCTCTCCGCTCTGCTTCAAACCCAACTTCCTGCAGCGGATGATGGTCCTAGATAGAATTCCTAGCTCCTGGCTTCGGGCTGGCCCAGCCTCAGCTGTTGCCAGCACTGGGGGAGTGAGCCCTCAGATGGAAGATCTCTCTGTGTATCTCTCCATTTCTCTCTCTGCTACTCTTCCCTTCAATTACTACCAGAATGAAAAAAAAAAAAAGATGTTTATTTTGATACAAAAAAATTGAAATCCATGCAGTTTTTTTCCACAATGTATTGTCCATGAACTTTTTGAAGATCCCTCATATTACAGTACATTTTCTACTTTGAGTTTATTTTGATTCTGATTTTAACTTGCATTCTCAAGCCATTGGGAAGAGAACTAATTCAAAGCAGTTTAGAAAAGGCGCATTCAGCTAATTTGGGATTCAGATTTTATTACCCCTGAAAGTGGGTAACTGGTTAACATGTTTCTATTTTCAGAGTGAAAAAAGTAAAACCAGAAACCAGACCAACCAATTTAAGTTTTCTTAAAGATTCAGGCTCCTCCTGTTTCTTATAACACAAGTCTTTGCTTTAGGCTAGAGTTGTCTATTTTTCTCAGCCTAGCATAAGTATGTTTTTCTTCAGAAACTGACTTGGCTTAAATCCTCCAACTGACTGCATGATGGACCTTCAGCCTTTCTACTCCCAAATTTGAAAAATATCACATGAAATACTACCCATAAAGTTTTCTCCAATTTGGCTACCTTATTAATGAATAAATCCAAAGGTACCTGGGACTCTTTCCCATGTGCAAAAAAAAAAAAAAATGAAATTAGCAAAATCCAGTTTATCTCCACCCTTTCAAAGGAATTAGTCTAACCTACCACTACAGTGTTTGAACCTCAAAACACATATGAGGTCCGTTGATTGTACAGACTAGTTTCAGTGAGGCATCTTATGTTACAGACTGGAATGTTTGCTTTTGTTTTTGAAGTTCCTTGTAATGGCATTTGACAAGAGAGTGTGATATAGTAGACCCGATGGCATGTTAGTCAGCTTTTCAGGACTTTAACTAAAATACCTAAGAGGGGCTTCTTGGGAAGGAGGAAGTTTCTTTCAGCTTACAGTTTGCAGGTCACAGTTCAGGCTCTGGTAGCCCCCTGGTCTGCATCTGTTGGAGGCTGGTTTGGCGGAATGGGTGTGCAGGGGGTACAATGACATAGTGAGCCGGGACGCAGGGAGAGAAGCAAGGCAGGAATTGATTTAAAAATAACCAACTCCTTCCAAGACTTGCCTTCTGAGGGTACACCCCAGTGACCTAAAGACCTCGCACACCTCAGAGACTGTGTTTAGATCAAGTCTCCACCCTTAATCTGTGAACCTTTGACGTAAGACTTCAGAGTTTCACATCTGCGTGAATTTTGGAAAATCAAATCCTGCCCAATCCATAACAGGTGGCCCTAGGGTTTGTTCCAGCCATCTCTTTACAGATAAGGTAAAAATAGATGCCCAAAAGATTGACTCCGCTAAGGTGATACAGCTAGTTAGTGAGAGAGCCAGAAGCAGATCCACTGTCACCTGATCCCTTCCTTTCCACCTAACCAGAGCTTTCTAAGCCTCCATCATGGCTTTTGTCACTAGTGCCTATACAGCATTTAATCAACATTATCCTTTAAATGCACTCACATATTAAGCTTCAACGTATGCAAAAAAAAAAAAAAAAAAGTTGGACAAAGAAGAGTAACTACAAAGTAATGAATTTGATTTGCTAGTTACATATTTTTTTAATACACTTCAAAATAAAAAATGTGGAACAGGCATTTAGTCTAGCAGTCAAGATGGCCACATCCCACATCAGAGTGCCTGGGTTCAGTTCTTGGCTCCAGCTCCTGAGTGCTGACCCCTTGTTGATGCAGATCCTGAGAGGCAGCAGTGATGACCCAAATAATTGGGTTCCTACCACTCCCTCAACCTCTGCCTCAGCCCAGTCCCCGCTATTGTGGGCATTTGGGGAATGAACTAGCAGATGGAACCTCCTTCTCTCTGTCTTCCTGACTTTCAAATAAATTTTTAAAAACTTTAAAAATTTTTTAAGATTAGTTGGCGTGCCTCGTTATTTTTGTATAATGCCAGCAAGGCACCCATTAGCCTTCACTGTCTCTGGTCTGTCATTTGCATGCATAAGTTACAAGTATTCATGGTATAAGGTGGATGCAAAAGCTAGTGAAAGCAGGAAAGAATATTTTGGGCAGCAGTGTTTGTGATCAGGCTACACAGGCTTTCCCAGTCTTACACTTTCAGCTCTCCCTTCAGGAACCAGGGATACAATGGGTTCCTTCATTTCTCCTAAATTATGAGCATATTTAGGTTTGTAAAGAAAGTCACAGTTTTCCTAAAATGATGTAAAGATTACCCATGTGAACCCTGGCTTCTCAGTTGTTACACGCTTGCTTTACAGTGAGTAATTCTGTAAACCATCACTCTGAGAATAGAACCATGATCAGCAGTTAAGGTTGTGTCATATACTACGAGTGTGTCAGAAATCACCATGGATAAACAGGAAGGCAATACTTACATTTATTTCAACCTAGTCCATTACAGCGGTGCAGACTAAGCTATATGCTTACGCCTTGTGAAGAAAGGTGTTTTGAAAAACAAAAGTATTAGTGTATATAATCTAGAGATTAAGAACACATTCAACCTTTGCTTGATTTTCTCACTGATGAATGAACTCCTGGCATGAAACAGTATCAAGAATGTTAAGAAAATAGTGAACATTATATGGCAAAACACAGCTCTCAAATGTATATAATAGATATTAAGTCTACTTTTAATTTCTCCATTCACATGTGTTTTCCATGGTTTACTGGTATTAAGAGAAAGAATATCATAGAAAATATTCCTCAGAGAGTAATAGCCTTCATTGTTTTCATTCTTAAACTGGATGGAAAAAGATGAGCAAATTCTCTTATAGTCAATATAGTTTTCTCAAGCAATTTGGAAAAGTCTTACAGAATTAAAATACTGTAATCATAGCTGGTCAGAATGCTTACAAGTTTTATTTCCTGACAATAGAATTGACAATGTCAAAAATTGTTTAGTATCATTTGATGTCCTATTTATCTAAAAAACATGTTTTTAATATTACAGATCAATTATAGATAATTTCTTTGATTGTGGAACAAATTCTGTCAAGATTGATCTTTTAAAAGTCTGTGACTATGGGCCGGCGCCGCAGCTCAATAGGCTAATCCTCCGCCTGCAGCGCCAGCACACCGGGTTCTAGTCCCTGTTGGGGCGCCAGATTCTGTCCTGGTTGCTCCTCTTCCAGGCCAGCTCTCTGCTGTGGCCCGGGAGTGCAGTGGAAGATGGCCCAAGTGCTTGGGCCCTGCACCCCATGGGAGACCAGAAGAAGCTCCTGGCTCCTGGCTTCGGATCAGCGCGGTGCACCGGCCACAGCGGCCACTGGGGAGTGAACCAATGGAAAAGGAAGACCTTTCTCTCTGTCTCTCTCTCTCACTGTCCACTCTGCCTGTCAAAAAAAGAAAAAAAATTCTGTGACTATGACAATATTGTGTCACTCTGGCATTAAGAGAGGTAGCCCACTGCAGCTAAAAGTTCCATCATGCTGAAGCGTATGGAGCACATGAAATCAATTTGGTAGCACCCCAAACTCACAGATCCTGTAATGATTATGGACTATTGGATGTTCTCATTTTTATGTTTTACAAAAAGACTATATGCTGTATTTAACACAAAACATTGTCAATGGTCTCCAAACCATGATAGGCAATATGGTATTATTCCTAAAGTGGTAACTGCAGCATATCAAGGAAAAAAATTTGCCTTTTCTTCTTGGAAATATTAACTCTATGTAGTAGCAAACTGTGAAGCCAATGCTATTGTGTTGTATTTTTAATATTAAATATAAATGATACCATCTTTGTGTAATCTGAATTTTACATATAGAGATTTTTTAATACAGTAGTTGAATAGGAGACATGCTTTCCCTATGACAAACTATATTTACAATGATCTAAAAGTCAAAATACCCCACATCTCCAACATTAATATAACATAGTATTTTATGGCCATTAAGACATCCCTTAATCCCTTCCATAATGTGTAAGAGAATATTGAGTCACAGAGATTAAGTAATTTGTTCAAAATAGATAATAGATAAGACTGATAAATAATTTTAAACTTCTACAGTTTCTGAGCATCTTGATCAACAGATTAATACTAAAACTGTATTATTCATTCACTAATCTACCCAACACATGTGGAGCACTACTACATGTGGAGAATGACAAAGGTAAGACATGCTACAGATTCCCAAGAATTGCATAGGAGGCAGCAAGGGAAAAGCACATGCAGAGATTATAACATAGGGCGGAAGGTGTGGAGAAGAGACGAGAACTGAGAGCAAGTGTGATTTGAGTTCAGCTTCTTGCTGGAAGAATCAGGGAATACTTTGAGAAAGAATTGACACTAAAAATGGAAGAAGGTTTACTGGCTGTAGGAAATGTAAAAACGGAATCACAGATATAGTAAGTCTAGGAAATACTTGTCGAAGAGAAGTAGTGGGAACTGCAAAAAAAAAAGATAGGTTGATCCTGTTGTGTGAATAAGGCTACAGTGCAGGCTTTTGCCTGGAAATGGTATGCACTTTGTTAAAATCTGGGCACTGCTCTGGATGGGCTGTACTGGAATAATTATGGAATGGAAAGGCTGGAGATGGAACACCAGTTGGTAGTCCAGGACAGTAGTCCAGACATGACTTAAGTAAGTTCTCAATCAAGTTTTAGTATTGGGAATAAACAGGAGGCCACTGATTGAAATTCTATGCAGAGAGGGAGAGGATTTGTCCTCGGGTATTCGAAACCAGTACCAGCTCTTGCCACTTTAGCAGATGTGCATTTTATGAGATTGGTTCCAATTAATGCAATATCCTCTATTTACAAATACTACAGCTCCTCTGAAAAATTAAATAATAGTAACTACCTTTTCATTTGGACAACAGATAACCCCGCAGATTTAGTATTCATAAGAACTCTCCCAAAAGGAAAATACACATCTGAATAATACTCTAAGAATTATGGAAGAAGAGTGTAAAAATTGACATCAAAAAAGTAACTGTCTTTGGGACTCAAAGAATGCAAAGCACAACCAAATAGGGAGACTTGGGAGTAATAGCACAATAAACATGTTTCTGATTTTTGTTAACCATTTATGAGGGAAAACATAGAAAATAGCAGCTAAAAGGAAAACAAGGGTTATTTTAAAATGTGTACATCTTACAGTTCTGAAGGGACCTGATGCATCATCTGGTCCAGACCTGTAATTTCCCAGGAGGTAACAGTTTCCTTGGAGGCTGAGTAGCTCTCCATTGAGATAGCCGCTCAACAGCAGGCTTGATGCAGGAGCCTGGGCCTCCAGCTCCGCTCTCTCCTCTCCTTTCTAGACAAGGAGAAAAGTGTCAATGCTCTGTCCTTTGCTACTCAAAGAGGTCCAGTGAGTGAATTAAACGAAGTCAATATTCATAAAAATCTTTTTTTTTTTTTTTTTTTTTGACAGGCAGAGTGGACAGTGAGAGAGAGAGAGACAGAGAGAAAGGTCTTCCTTTGCCGTTGGTTCACCCTCCAATGGCCGCCGCGGCCGGCGCACCGCGCTGATCCGATGGCAGGAGCCAGGTGCTTCTCCTGGTCTCCCATGGGGTGCAGGGCCCAAGGACTTGGGCCATCCTCCACTGCCTTCCCGGGCCACAGCAAAGAGCTGGCCTGGAAGAGGGGCAACCGGGACAGAATCTGGCGCCCCGACCAGGACTAGAACCTGGTGTGCCGGCGCCGCAGGCGGAGGATTAGCCTATAGAGTCACGGCGCTGGCTCCATAAAAACCTTAAATGTCTTACATCAATACCTAAGGCTTTGAGCCTGAAAGAACTGGAAGTTTATAACTTTTAATTTTTATTTCCTTTTTCTTTATTTATATGAAAAGCAGAGAGAGCCAGACAGGGAGAGCTCTTCTGTCTACTAATTCATTCCCCACCTGCCCACAACAGCTAGGTTGGGGCTGGGCTAGGCCGAATCCAGGAACCTAGAACTTAATCCAGGTCTCCCTCGTGGGTGGCAGGGACCCAAGAATTTGAGCCACTACTTTTTGCCTCCCAAGGTGTGCATTAGTGGGCAGCTGGGTTGGAAACAGGTGAGTCTCGATCCAGGCACTCACATTATGGGATGCAGGTGTCCCAAACACTGCTGTGACAGCTGCACCAAACACCTGTCCCGATGTTTTTTCACACCAATAGAAACACTTCAGTTTTGATCATTGATAACTCATTAAATAAACTGCAAACCTCATAACAGCATATATTTCAATATCTGATTCCCCAAAGAAAATTTGGTAATGCTGATTGTCCTTTATTTATGTATTTATTAAAAGATTTATTACTTATTTATTTCAAAGGCAGAATTATAGAAGAGAAAGAGAGATCTTTGATCTACTGGTTCACTCCCCCAGAAGCCCTCAATGGCCAGGGCTGGGCCAGGCTGAAGCCAGGAGACTGGAGCTTCTCTGGATCTCCCACGTGAGTGCAGGGGCTTTCCCAGGTGCATTAGTAGGGAGCTGGACTAAAAGTGGAGCAGCTGAGACTTGAACTGGTGCATATATGGGATGGGCTGCCAGCATCACAGGTGGCAGCTTAACCCACTACACCACAACACCCACCCCCAGCTGTCCATTTTGTAAAACACAGTGTTTAAAATGTATTTATTTGAAAGGCAGAGCAACAGAGAGAGAGGGGGAGAGACAAAGAGAGACAAATCTGCTATTCCCTAGTTCATTCCCCAAATGGCCACACCAACCAGGTCTGGATCAGTCTGAAGCCAGGAGCCCAGGAACTCATCCAGGTCTCCCACATGGGTGGCAGGGCCATAATCTGCTGCCTTCCCAGACGCATTAACAGGAAGCTGGACTGGGAGCGGAGCAGCCAGAACTTGAACCCACACCCTGTTACGGGATGCCAGTGTTACAAGTGGCAGCTTAACCCTCTGGCCTTGCTTATTGTCTTTTGAGGTTTGTGAAATATAAAATGCTCAAATGACTTACTTACTAGAATTATAAAAGAAATATTATAGGATCATTACACCTCCCAAAAGTAGTTCTAAATCTCTTTAAATGACATAGTAACTTGCAGTGTTACACTAGGTCAATGTATTCTGAACACAGAACTAACATTGTCTGGGAATTAGATTCAGATTCTCAGCTTCAGAGTGTATATTCAACACGATGAGGCAGCACACTTGCTTGCCTGTGAGAATTAAGTCACTCATCTCGTGATTCCATAGGTTGGCCACTTCCTTTAAATGTTTTGAATTCAGAAAATAATAAAAGGGATTGATTTCATTTGCCAGCCAGAAGGGTTTTTTATTAACATATTATTTCTTATTATAATTAATAATCCTCATAGTTAAATAATTCAAACCCAACAAATTAGGCAGGTATATAATTGAGAACACTGAGGCATTTTTAAATGGAGACTTGCATGAGACATTTGTATGAAAAGACAACACTGGAAATATATTTGCTTGCTGGAGAATCTGAGCATCTGGCTTTGCCTTGTGCACCACTGCCAGATTTATCTACCTTTCTCCCATGTGAACTGCATGGGGTCTAACACATTAATCTAAAGAGATAGCTTCTGTCTTCTTAAAGTGAAGAGTTGTGCAGTGGTAATTTTCTATCCAGAACCTTAAATGTCTAGGGAATTAAGGTTACTGCCAAATTCAAGTGACTACTTCTTTTCTCTGATTTAAAGCAGGATTTCTTAAAAGCCAGAGCAGCCAAGTTTCCATTCACTGTTCCCAGACTTTTAAAATGGTATAGTTAAGGTTTAAGCTAGGAACCTCAGAGGATCTCAAAACTGAAATATTTTTATTTTTCCAAGGATACACAGAACCCAGTATAGAAACGAAGAACTGTGCAACTGCCTTATTTAATAGCAGTGACTGCATAAGGACTCAATCTACATATTCCCTCCAGAATTATTTTTCAATGTTTTTGCTAATGTATCCTGCAAATTTTATTTTAAAACCATATATCTCAGAGCAGGTTGTGGCACGGCAGGCTAAGCTTCCACTTTCAATGTCTGGGCATGTCCGCTTCTGATCCAGCTCCCTGTTAATGCACCTAGGATGGCAGCGGAAAATAACCCAAGTTCCTGGGCACCTGCTACCCATGTGGGAGACCAGACTGGGGTTCCTGGGTCCTGGCTTCAGATTGGCACACATCTGGCTATCGTAGCTATTTGGGGAATGAACCAGGGATAGAAGCTCGCTCGCTCTCTTCTCTCTGTCTCCCTCTCTGTCTATCGCTCTGCCTTTCAAACAAACAAATAAATCTTAAAAACTTGTATACCTCTTGCACACTTTTATATTAGTATCTAAATATTTCATGATACTTTAAATAGCTATGAAGGATATTGTGAAAATAACCAGGGTATTGTGAATATTGGCACTTACAAAATAAAATTGTTACATCAAGATAATTTTTATGATTATAAAACTTTTATTGATAGCCTATCATATTAAGTTACTACGAAAACATGTGGATAACTTTATAAAGCTCTCCTGGGTTGAGTTATTATTAGAACATAAATATGCTTCAAAATTTGATAATCACTGAGAATAAAAATTAAATTTTATTGATGATACATTCCTTTTGCTAAAAATTATTTATTTATTTATTTATTTGAAAGTCAGTGATCTTTCTCATCTACTGGCTTACTCCCCAAATGCCTGAAACAGTGTGGTCTGGAGCCAGGACAAAACCATGAGCCCAGGCTTCAATCCAGCTCCCCCATGTGGGTGACAGGGGCCTAAGTACTTGAGCCATCACCTGCTGCCTCCCAGGGTGCACATTAGTAGGAAGTTGGACTCGGGGGTGGAGCTGGGCCTCAAACTCAGGCACTCTATTAAGGGATACGGGGGTCCCCAGCAATGTCTTAACTGCTGAGCCAAACATCTACCCTACCAACACATTTTAATGAAAAGGAAAGCTAGATGCAGTAAAAAATAATTGGTTTGTACATAGGATCTTATTTACCTTTTACAAGTAGAAGGTAGGAAATATTAAAAATTTTAAGATGAGGAAAAATGGTAAAGTTATTTCAGCTACTTCATGGACTACTAAGCATTAAGCAGAAAGATCTTATAGAACTTTTACCTAGTATATCTTTGACATACTAGGTAAACAAATAAAGATGTATTGGTACAAAACTTTGATGGTTTTTGAAAACATTCTAATTACATTTCAAGGGCTTGATGGTGACAGGAATGCTTTGGCTAGTTAAAGGTTCTTTTCTTTCCAGCTATGATGTGTGCTGGGGATAAACAGCAAGAAGAGCTGAAAAGAGTCTCTTGTATTTAAAGCAAACGCAGAAGGGTACATTCTCAACAGTCACCACTTCTCACTCATGTTCTTCTTGCCTTGCTTTCTTAAGGCTGTCCCTCAAACACGTACTTGGACAAAGCCAGGGCATAGTCACACTTGCAGCTCTATTCTCTAACAGGAATATTTATATATGGGAAATACAGGAAGCCCTCACACTTGGGATCCTCAAGCCCTTCAAGACCCACTAAGGTGCACATACTCAACAGCCACCACCTCTGTTCTTGAGTTATCAACTCAGGTCCACCAGCATCCAGTTTGCACCAAGGCATAAGGGCTTCTGGGCCTCACACAGTAGAGCCTCGGATTCAGGGTTGGGCCCCAGGCCTCAGATCCAGCATGGAGGCTGGGCACCCATCCCTGAGCCTGCCTCCACCAGGAGTTCCAAGTGAGCCACGTCCTGCCTCATCTGGCTTGGAGCCCCAGATCACAGAAGAAAAACTCTGAGTTCAGCCTCGGTGGTGTTCCTGTGGTTTCCTGGGATCACGTCACCATGGAACTTCTTTTAATTCTCTTTAAAAAAATATTTTATTTATCTATTTGAAAGGTAGAGTTACAGACAGTGAAATGGAGAGACTGCAAGAAGGGCCTTCCATCCGCTGGTTCACTCCCCACATGGCCGCAACAGCCAGAGCTGAGCCAATCCAAAGCCAGGAGCCAGGAGCTTCTTCCAGGTCTCCTACACGAATGCAGGGGCCCAAGCACTTGGGCCATCTTCCACTGCTTTCCCAGGCCATAGCAGAGAGCTGGACTGGAAGAGGAGCAGCCAGGACTAGAACCGGTGACCATATGGGATGCCGTGCCACAGATGGAGGATTAACCTACTGCACCACAGTGCCAGCCCCCTTTTTAATGCTGTTAACCAGGGCGACCCCACAACTCACTAAACCCATCCATCCATGGATTCTGATCACCAGGAAGAAACTTCTCCAATTTCCAGTCCCTGGCAGCAACAAGAGAAGTAGTCAAAAAAAAATGAGTTTGGCATCAGGAGGGCTTAAATTCTTTCCATCTAACATGGCTGGAACTCTAGGCAAATAATTAGTATTGTCATCAAAATTCTTAACATCTATACAACTAATTGACTCAAGAAGGCGATTGTTCTTGTTTGTGACGTGCGTGCCATGGACTTGGCACGTTGGTAGGAAAACATGGCCCCTATCTGAAGACAAGAAAATCTTTTTTTTCTTGTTCTGATGTTACTGTGGATGGTTGAGATACAGTCGTGTACCTGTCAGGATTGTTTTGCTTATGCAAGGAAGGCCTTTGAAGATGTTTGTCAAACTCTCTGTGATCTGATGCTCTAAGTTGCTCTGATGCGGACATGTATTAGCAGCACATGTGTCTGCGTGTTGCTGTTCTTAATGTAGTCACCGACAGCCTAAATGCTTCTAACGCCAGCTCACGGGCACACTCTTAATTGGTCACTGTCCTTAAATACCCAGAGTTCCTACAACCACGGCCACACCTCCTGGGAACTAAGAGGGCTGTTGGCAATGCACAGGAAGGAGGTCCAACTGGGGCCGGGGCTCATGTCCCCATCGAAGGAAGGACCCTGACTGCGTTGCAACTGCAAAGCCTTTAAGAACTGTTTCTTTTTATTATTTGTGCCTTTTCTGGCCTCATTAATGAAAGAGCAGCTCAAGATTCAGGGGAGAGAACAGTGTGTTCACACAGGAGTGAAATCCAGCCGTAAAGCTGAATATAAACCTTGTCCCCCAGATTTAATGCTGTGGCTCGCCGCAGGCCAGCCCTCGCATAAAGGCTCTGAGTTTTCCTGGAAACGCGGTGAGCATCTCATCTCGGCCGTTTTCCTCGGCCATTTTTGGATTTAGTCTTAGCACTCCTGAGGGGATAATGTAGCCTAATATCTTCTCACTTATCTAAATGTGGGTTAAAATGGGACTCAAAGTAGGCTCAGGGTGCGCTGCGGGTCACAGAGGGATTGCCCTGCCTTGTCAGAGGCACCAATAAAAAGTCCCAGCTCCTTGTCGCGGGGCCAGGAGCCGTCTTCCCAGGCGTCAGGCCTGATCCCCCACGTTGTGTTTCTGGGATGGAGATTGCCTGTGCAAGACAACATGGCTGCTGGCTAACAGGTCTCAGGGAAGCCTCCTAGGGGCAGGAGTGGTGGCAAAGTGGGTTCAGCTGCTGCCCACCCACCACCCATATCACAGCGTTGGTTTGGGTCCCAGCTCCTCTACCTGCACCCATGTGGGAGACCCAGATGGAGTTCTGGGTTCCTGGGTTCAGCTTGACCCAGACCAACCCTGGCGGTTGATTTGGAGAATGAATCAGGATGGAAGATTGTCTCTGTGTGTCTCTCTCTGCCTTTCAAGTAGATAAAAATAGAAAAAGGTACCCTACAAAAATAAAAAGCCCTGGGAGGAGAAAGAAAAGGGCCAACCCCTCACAGCACAAAGGTCCTGGAGGCACCCACGGCCACTACACGGAGGCCCTTCTAAGGGCTTCAAGGCTGGGGAGGAAACCTGTGCCTGCGGTGCAGGAGGTGGGGCTGCGGGGCGTCTCTCAAGTGCAGGGTGGGCCCAGCACAGGAGCCAGAGCAGCGTGGGGGCAGGCGTGGCGTGCACTAGAGAGCAGGAGCTCCCGTTGCACGCGGCGGCAGCAGGGCAGGCGTGCAGGAAGGCCAGTGACATACGGATGGCTGTGACAGTGGTATTGACCAGCACCGCCCGGAGCGCCCGGCTCTCCCCTA